TTATGGTACAATCAAAGGAACATTCACACGCATAAAAATTCAATAGTGTTTCCTTTGTCTTTTGGGCTATGGTTTATTTCCTTTCCTTTCTATCTACCCAGATATGAAACCTCCATCAAGATGACACACGGTATAGATTCTCACCACATTAAGTGCTATCAAAATGAACCATTACAGACAACTGTCCACTCATATGGAATCGTCTTGCCTCAACAAAGAGATATTTTCTACGGAAAAATAGAAAGGAGCTGGGATTGAAAGATTATTGATGAACTTCAAAGTTCCAAAGTTATTATTCCCATTATCTTTTAAATGCATATATGTTCTCTTTAATACCCCCCCCCCCCCAATTAGGTCTAATCATGAAAACTATTAATATTTTCCGTTCAACAGAGTTTCTTTGCTTCTCTAGACAGTGACCCTACTTCCTTTCAAACCCCTTGTCATAGCCAATGCGCATACCGTTGTACAATACTGAAAAAGAATGATCTTCGAAGAGAGCTGTACCTTGAGAATCCATCCGCTGGTCTCCAGACCCCTGAAATAAGGAGTTTCCGAGATCAGCAAGACAAACAAGTGTTTTACACAATTATTTCAACCAACATTCTATAGGTCATCACGTCATACCTTAGAATAAATTATCCGTGCTGCTTCCAACTGGGACATCTCTGCATCAAAGGTATTGACCATTTCCAAAACCTCTGGCGTGCTAACAAAGCGTGCAAACCTACAACCACCAAAGGCCCATTAGTCCAAGAGAGAACTAGAAAGTTAACTACACAAGGATTTCTTATGGTAAAATTTTCTTCATTTTCACTGCTTTCACCTTTCAAGTGTTCCTTTTGTAAACCATGCCTCTGCATTTTTGTGTCTCTCAATTCCTAGCTTAAATGATTGGACTGCTAGTGCAACCTGCTCTTCGGCAACCTTTAAATGGGTCACAAAATGTCTTACAAGTCCTGATGCCAGCTTCTCGGTATTTCCATTACTTGAAACAAACAATTCACATCTGCCCATAAAAAGTTAAAAAAAAAAAAAAACGAACGATATATAATGTAACAAAAGTATAACAAATAGAAAACCACATGACAGCTTGAAAAGGCAATGTATTATTCACACCTTGAACGTTTTGGAGACAACTGGAATACAGCATAATCAAGAGGTGTGTCAGACTTCATTTTCCTTTATTAAAGCGAGCTCTATCAGTTCTCTGACCTATGCACATAAACCAACGCATTTTCCATCGTTTTCGTTTGTTGGTAATGAAAATCAGCAAAATCCACTTCAGAAATCCTAAACTCAGAATGCAGATTCTGAAAACAGAGGTAAGAAAATTTCAGAGCAATGAAACTAGTTTACTACTGAACTCTTCATCAGATGATGGCCGGTCATACTCAAATTGGCCAACTATACAAATCGGCACTTTTCAAACGAGTAACAGCATATAGAATTTACGAAAGGCCTACAGGGTGAACCCCACTCGTTTGAATGCCATAACAGAGGAACACCACAGATCCCACCCCAAAACCCAGCTTAAAAACAAATTGCTCCTAAATTTAAGCATTTGCAGCAATATAGAAATCCGAATTCGTGATGAAGAAATTAGATGGCATAGATCTGATTCAATAAAGACCTCACTGAGGTGTGAGACCGCAATGACCTCCTGCTGAATACGCTCCTATAACCCCAATATTCGATATCTGATGGAGCTAAACCCAGGAAACCGCAAGCGAAACAGACTATACACGCACGCATTTGCATAAACAAATAACTTGAGAAACAATGCAAGCAGTAACATCGAAGGGAGAAAAAAAAAAAACCCTAACGATTTACATTCAAAAGCGGAACTGAAAATGTCGGAAGATCGCGGAATTCAATGTGCAGCTCCAGAGTAGAAGCTGAGAGATCTTCAATTGCGTAATCCGATCCTCCGAATTCAAGTTCAATAGAGCACCAGCATTTCGCTCCCTTGTCTCTTTTTCTAATATATTCTTCTTTTTCCGTTGCTTCTTCTGCGTGGCACGAGCTCTTTTTAGTCTCTCAATATTTTTGAAGTTTTACGAAAACCCTACAATGACAAGATAGTCTTTGCTTTACTCATCCCCTCAAATCTCTTTCTAGCTTTCTCTCTCTACACTCTATCTCAAAACAAGACTACAGTAGAGAGAGAGAGAGATGAGAGTGTGCGTTTGAGTTGGGAGGCAAGGGAGAGAGCAGAGAGAGAAAGCTATATATGCTTTCAGAGTTCAGACAAAATACATTTTACTGGCACTACCATTTTTGCTAGCGCACATCGCACAGTGTTTATTATACAAGTAGGATTGAACAGGATTTACCACCAATACAAGTTTCATACTGTATCAGATGCTTTTGACTGACTTCATTGGTAATTTCATTTTCATTCTACTTTTGGGCTTCACTTGCCATTTATTTAAAAGTTAGTAGAATTCATCTACCATTTTTAATTGTTCTAATTAAAAATACTCTTCCAGTCATAAATATAAGACCCTTATAAAGGGTTTTACATTTAGGACCAGAAGAGTATAATTTATTGTTACCGCTACTAGGTTATAGTAATGAGCAACAAAAAAATTTAAAAATAAATACTTCCACTATTTCAAAACGAGGGTATTCTTAAGGGGAAAAAAATTATTTCATTATCGTCCACCAACAAAATTCTTAAATCATATAGTTAATGTGATAATTTTGTTAGTGGATAATCTGTAAATATCTCTCTAAATATTCTTTAAGTCTAAAAACATGTGTTGGTCCTAGTAAGCTTTCGAGACTTAACTCACTTAAATTTTTGTTGTATAAAAAAATTCAATGCAGCATTTAGGTAGACAATTTAAAAATATTTCAATGCATTAGATTAAGGATAAAATTGACAATGGAATTAATATTTTAATGTATTAACTATATTTCTTAATTTTGAAACATATGAAGTATATTGTAATCATATTTAATTATCTTGACATTAAATGCCATTATATTTACAAGTATTATTATTTCTTTCTTTTTAATTTTTTGAAATTCGTTTGTGAATTCTGAATATATGCTACTGATGTGCTATATTCCTAAACCTATTCATGGAGGTTTTTTTTGTTGCACCGGATGCTTTTTTAATTGAACATCATGATACATGATTCATTTTTATTAAATTTGTTTTCATATTAAATAGACATATAATTCAATATTCTTCTTGTATAATAACTGAAGAGATCTGTGATTGATTTATTAATGCATAATTGGCATTGGATAACTGTAGCTGACAGTGAGGTTGGATTTGCAGTGTTTGTCACGTAACCAGACATGAAAAGTCAATTGCATTTGACAACGTATCCATCTGAATCCGTCCACTATTATTATTATTTATATTTCATTTCCCCCGTTTGGTAAAACCATTAATTAACGCAGTCCTAATCAACCCAATTGTCTGGCCAGGCACTTAACGAAATTTAAAAGACAACATTATTAACCTCAACCTTCTTTCCATTACCGTCAATTGTGTTTTTTTTTTTTTTGACGTAGGTATCTCCAGCACGTCACATTCATCCATTGATTTATTGAAGTTCGTATTTTCCATATACTCCCTCCTTTTTCATTTATAGTATATTTTTATAATAAATTGTGGAGACCGATTAACTTTGTTTGATACAAGTAAAAATCTTAAATTTTAACAAGAAGTGGGAACTTTCAAAAATACCTTTCATTTAACACTAATACCGTCAATTTTCTTTTTTTTTAAATCGTTTTTAAAAATTTTCTTATAAATTACAATGAAGGAATTTTTAAAAAGATTTCAAAAAATGAATCTGGATAGTTATAACATAGAGAGCCAGTGATAATTATTTTTTTTATACAATTCTTCTCCCTTTGATTATTATGTGATTACATGACTACAAATTATGTGCCACTCTCTGCAATCCTAAATTCCTAACTCCTAAGTCCTATCTATAAAATATACTCGAGAGATTCACCAAATATATATATATATATATATAATTGAGAGATTTACTTACTCCTAAATATGGGATAATAATCAATAATATTCTTTATTTCTCCCACTCTATTTTTTTCAAATTAATAACCTAATTAATTACGCAATTTTTCTTGCTTTCTTTAATACCCTCCTTTTTTTCCTGACCCAAAAAAAAAATTCCTTCCTTTTTTTTTTTACCACGAATATCTTCCTTACAATAGGAGGTTCAGATTATGAGTATTTTATGAAAAGTGACACGCATTTTTCATACAATTATGACAAATAATTAATTTAATCACTTTTTTAATCTTTGTGAATGAGTTAGCTAGATTTTATGTATGAGATTGGAATGAGTGATGTTTTCCGCTTATCAGTCGATTGCATGCCATCTGACACAAACGATCGATCTTAATTCTCCAGATCCAAATCTTTGAAGCGGTATTTAAGACGCTGCGTTAGGCCAAAAAATTATGAAGAGACGTTTTTAAAAAAATTAGGTTACTTACATGACCAAGATATATACACGCAAATAATAAAGTACTCTTGCAGTCCTTAATGGAAAACCTAATTATAGAGTTAATATTAATCATATATGTAAGACATTTCATAAATTTATAAATTGTTTTCTTAATTAACCCTATTAATATTCTCCAACAATAATCAAGTAAAAAAATAAAAGAGAAAATTAAAAAAGATGTTTAAAGTATTTTAAAAAAAACACACATCATATTAGCTAATCTAACAAACATCAGACGTACGCAGGGATAACATTTTGCCAATTCACTCTATGTCATCAACTGAAATATGACATGTAGTTGGTTGGCAAAGCGGAAAAAAGGAATATGACATGTAATGTATATAGTAGTATGTCAAATTTAGTAGAAGTGGAAATAGTGGGAAAAATAGAAAAAAAAGAGACAGAATAATCGATGCCCATATTTAGTGGGTATTTAATGAATTCCAGTGCACTGCTCATCTTTAGAAGATGGACCGCACGTCTTACCATCCGAAAATGGCAAGAAATTTACTGCTTGAGAAGGGGAAAAATTAATCTGCCTTCAAATTTTTATATTATGTTTAAGATATTTTTATTAAAGATACCATGATAATTTGCTCACCTTTTATCCACATACATTTTTTTACTATTTTTAAACTCGTAACAAAATTGTAAATTTGCAGAAAAAGGAATAATTGCTAATATGTTATGGACTATGGTCAGTAGCCATTAGATTAGAGTTAATAAATAATGTACTGTAGACCCGTGTAGCTAGTCATCACTTGCACCAGGCTTTTGTTAAACTAATAGAATTGTAAACTTGTTGGTGAGAATGGTAAGTAATCACCAATCCTTTATGGTCAAAATGACCAATTATATTGTAGTTAATGGGCTGTAATTTGTCCTTCACAACAGTAACTTCACTAAACTTGTTGATAAAAAGATCTATTGCATGGTCAATGGCCATTATATTATAATTAATGGCTAATATGGTATAGCCAATTTCTTATATCACAACCTTGCCGAGCTTGCAATATAATAGTAAACTTAGTGAAAATAATGGGTATTACTAATCCATGATGGTCAGTAACTATTATTCCACTGGTCCTTAATATATGACCTAATTGTTGAGTTTATGTTAGTCCTAAATATAAGACATATTTTTCATATTTAATTATTAATTTTTTTATATTACTCTTACTGGAACTCTCTCAACCATAATCAATTAAAAGAAAAATGAAGGATATTAAAGAAGATGATTATGGTGTTTTAGAAAAAACATGTCATGTTTCCTATAATTAACTAACTTACCTAACTTCTCTAATATAATCAAATTAGTTAAATAGGTTTTATATTAAGAACCAAAAGAGTAGTATATTTTAGCTAGCGACTAATATAGTCAAAGTTTGATGGAATTGCCAGGAAACTTTAATGGCTCAGTAACTATGTATATTTTGGGAATTAAAAGCCCATGAGATCAAATCCCATAACTTTGCTAAAAATTGACCAGCTATCAATAGATATGGGTTTGCGGGAAAAAAAGGTAGAACATAATGTCGTAAAAACATAGCATTCAAAAAAAATTTAGACTAGTTTTAAATTTGTTGAATTGGGTGGACTGGTTTAACGTTTGGGTATTTCAAAGGTCTTTCTCTTCAATAATTAAAGTCACATGACACTAAATTAAAAATTAACCCATTACAAAAGTTAAAAGACTGCGAGTATGTTTTTCTCTGAAATTTATATGAATTAACGCAATGAATCACTTTATAACATACTAATATCGAAAGGTTTTTAACCTCATGCCAAAAGATAATGTATTTAATTAACGAGTTTCTTTTTAAAAAATGTATTGTATCATTTTTTTTTTATAAAGGGTTTTTTCTTTTGAGATTAGCGCATACGGCTTTCTTCTCTCCCATATAGTATGATTATTGATGTAGTACTAGATCACAGATGAAAAGATGGAAAAAAAATTACTAACACAATGTAATTGGCTTATGCGTTCAAGTAACTTACCTCACTCTTTTGAAGGGTAACACTAAAAGTATGACAAAAATTGTATCGATGTCTTTCTAATTAAAAGAAAAATATTTATTCCCTTATTTCACCAGAAAAAAAAGGAAAATATTTAGAATTAATGGCCAATATTGATATAGTGGTTCATAGTCATTTAAATTTCAACTCCGAAGAAAATACAAATGTTATCTATGGAGTGTTTGGAAGAAAACTAAATTATAGTTTTTTAAAACTTATTTTATAACATACAAAATAAGTATATGAGAAAAATTTTATCTTGATTTGTGTGTATAATTTACAAACACTCTTTATAACATGCATTCTTTCTCAAATATCTACCACGCTCACCTCTCTTCTATGCAAAAGTTGAAGGTCCATGCAAAAAAACAGTGGCAAGAAAAAAATTGAGAGACCCTGATTTTTGTTATAAGTTTTAAATAATTAATTTATAAATAATAAATGAGTAGTTAAAACTTATTAAAAGTAATAAATAAGTTTAAAATATAATTTTATTTTTAAATATGTCTTTATAATAAATAAAAATAATAATAAAAGAAAGTGTTTGAGAAAATATAACATGAGAGTATGACCAAAAAGATATAATAAATAATTAAAAATAAAATAAAATAATATATTAAATATTGAAACAAACCCTAAAATTAAAACTTATAACATAGAGTATATTCTTCTT